AAGAGGACACTCGTCCTCACCGGGAGATATTTTGCACAGCTTGTATCGACAGGTTCAAAAATACATTTTGAATAATACAGTTTTAATTAAACCAAAACAAACAGAGGCCCATTATGTGCTAGTTCTATATGCATTTATATATCTTAACACAAACAACAAGCAAGGCATCTGTGAAACCCAAAAATATTTAATTCTTACCCCACTTAAAGAGCAGTGACAAAATTTAAATTCCACTTTTTAGAGTAAAACCATGCAATTTTTCCATACACACCCTAGTGAATTTCATATTAATGAGCAAGAACATTTGTTTGATTACTCTCACTCTAGCAATAAATGACACATTGTGAATGGGAATATACAAGCGTACCCTCTGAATTCCAGGGCCAGAATAACCACCTGATCAAGTGTCACAACAGATTGCATTAAGTAAGAATTAACTTTAGGAAGTTTTATTTGAACTAAAGCAGGGCGTACCAGGGCAGGACATCTCATTACCAGGGACACTAAATAAAAACAGAACCCATCATCATGGCCCAAATGACACAGCGCTAGCTAAAGCTTTTTCAGCACATTGACAGTCGTTGATATTCAGAGCATTGCTACCACTTCTGGTTCTGTTTCTTGCCCAGGTCGACACTTTTCTCTCCAGCTGTACCCACTGGCTTAGCAGACTGCTAGCAGCGCAGCACACACACAGAGAACTCAATAAAAACACTTTCCAAACCACAGAGGAGCTATGGCTCCAAAGTACATAGTTCAAATTAAAAATTGGGGCCAGATAAAATGATTCAAAATTGGGAAGAACCAACGAGATCCCGTTTCCAATAAGCTGTTTTGACCTGACTGATGAATGCAGTCCGGCAAGGGAGGAGGTGGAAAAACAAGGACATGCTCAAGCAATGGTCCTGGATGGTATCATGCTTTGACAGTCTTTAATGCCGCTCTGGCATTAAAGCTATTTTCTTTCACAAGTCCATTGCTCTAGGCAAGCTCTTCAGCTTCTGTTGACTCTGGGCACAGCTAAACATGCTTCTTCAGCGTGCGAGATCCACACACAGTGCCCGGGGGAATGTGGGGGCATAGGACTACTGTAGCACCCAGGCCAAATCTCAGTCCCATTGCTCAGTAAGATAAGGAGTTTCTCAAGCTCTCTGAACTCAGACGACTGCCCCTCAGTCTATCCCCTTCCTTTTTTGGCCTGGTTTAAAAAACAAATATTGCACAACTTGTTTTCCATTGTGTTTTTCCTTTCTGGAGAGGAATTTTTTTGTCACTCTTCCATCTGCCAGGGCTCACCATGCAGCAGGATGGGCTTTCAATAAAGAAAAGCTCCCTATCAATCTATATCGTTCCCTTTCTGTCTCAGGAGACAAGCATTTACATCTTGTGCTACATGGACAATATGCAGCAAGCATGGGAGAAAGAAAAGAGGTCCTTGAGAGCCATCTCAATAGCTAGAAAATTGTGCTGAGTAAATAAACGGTGAAGACAACCTCTCAAGTCAGGAGAAGAATAGCCAACAACATGCCAACAACTGATTACATGGACCGGGGTAAATGTAAAGTAGAAGGGAGTACTTGGACTGGTGACTTGCCAAGGTAATAAAAGAGCTTTAAATATTTGTGACCCATTCCCAGACACTGAAACCTGCATGTTCTCCCACATAACAGGGTGGGAAGACGGGTGAAAAAGCAATCAATCTGAAAGGTAAACTCAGAGCCAGATGGCACATGCATCTGTTTAATTCACCCACTATCCCAGGAAGTTTCAAACTTGGGTCATTCCATGAGTCAAAGCTACAAGAGACAGCTCTGGCTAGCTGCATCGGTCACACAGTTAGGATTTGCCCTTCTGGTTAGTCCTCTTTGGAGAGGACAGAATTTCAATTTTAAAGGGCAACTGTACAAACAGGACATAGGAGTATTTATATTTCTCTTCAAACACCGGCACAAGCAGCAGGGGTCTAGTGGGTGATTTATGAGGTGGGAATGCTTCTTTGAACTGTAAGTTAGATGGGGGTTGCCTTTCCAGAGCAGAGAGGAACATACGACGGCTGTCTTGTCTGAAGAGCTCTCACAGTGGCTTTTACCCAGGTGGTCACAGCTGCTAGGTACTCAAAATGAAGTCCTCTCCTTCCATGCTCTCTCTCTCTCTCTCACTCACATACAAAGTCAACACACCAGAGAAGGCCATTTTTCTTTTATTTATTTTCCCAGAAGAGCTCTTCCTTGCACTTGCCAGACACAATACAAAACAAGCAACAGAACTTTGTTTCATGTACAGAAACAGTTTGTTGGAGTATAAAGAGTTACTGGTGATCATTACTGAAGAATGTTGGCTTATTCCAGGGGCACTTCAGTATTCCTGAGGAATAATCATTGATTTCTCCTTCCTTCCCACTGGGATAGTCTTAGTCATTAGTCACTGTTCCTGTAAAGCAAGAAGGCTTATATTATTAAAAAGCCATTTGGGTTCCTTACATGGAAGGTGCTGCACGATGTAAAGCAAGCCACTTAAGCTCTGTAACATTTCCAGAAGGTAGGCTAACATTTTCATCCTTTGCTAGACTGAGAAGTCTAGTATGGAGAAGTTAAGCAGCTATTTTCATACCAGAAGCACGGCATGTTTTCATGCATATAAGCCTTCATTCTGTTAAAATGAGTACTTCAAAAAAACCCAACATTATTGTTCAAGTTAACTATTCACAGATTGAATAGAAATCAAAGCCACAAAGGGCTGGAGGAAAGGTTCCAGTTGCCAAAGTTCTTGTATTGTTGCACATCAATATAATCCACATTGCAATCAAAGTACAGGGCTGTGGGTTTTTGGGTGATAAATTATACAGGCTAAATAACCTGAAAAATATGATACTTTCCATTTTGCAAGGAAACTTTAGGCCATGTCATTCTCAGCCATAGCGTTTTAAGCTTTGAAGTAATTGCTAGATGTTGATTTTAAATTCAGCTGAAGTCACAGTGACATTCACTTGATCAAATTACTTAAAAAGCCCTCAGAATGGTATGACCACAAATTAGAACTTTTCTGCATTTTAAGTAGTCTCTTGGCCTAGGTGAATGGCTGTTGCACTGGTGTTAGTGTTTCATTATCAACTTACTAACCCAAAGGATGGGCAGCACGGTGATCCAAGTTACAGCTAGAACAACCGCAAAGTTGCTTTGTAATCTCCTGATTATTCAGTATCACGAAGGTCCTCTGCCCTCTCTCATTCTCACTTAGAATTCAGAATTAAGAGCTTGATCCTGAAGAATCAAGAATCCAGACTGGATAAAGCCCAGAGTAACCTGGTCTGACCTCACAGCTGACCCTGGCTTGAGGTCAGACTAGATGACCTCCTTGAAGTCCTTTCCAACTTGAGTTATGCTGTGAGTGTATGAACTTGACACTTTCAGAAAACTCAAAATAATTTTCTTCAAGCTAATTTGTGTTACATTTCTCTCTCCCTTAATAAAGCTGATTTTCTTGCCAGAATCTCACATTTTGACAAGTTAGCATTTGAACAGAAACTCAATTTTCTAAAAGAAGTCCTATAGAGTTTAGTTACAACAGTATTTTCTAGGAAAAACACAGATGAGTGATAATGCAACAATATTTTCCATGTTCCTAACCAACAGAAATGAAATAATTTTGTTGTAATAACCCTGGAGCCATTATCCATGACACGACATTTTGGAGAGAATTAATGACATTAACTATTAGATGGCTTCATCTGCATCTTCCCTCTCTCAGCATGTTCAGTCTCTTTGTGCCAGAGACAGTTAATGGAGACAGTACACTGGAAACTATTTGTCTAGTCTTGTGCCATGCAGGCAGCTGCGCTTCTTCTGTGAAGTGTCCTTTCAATTACCTCATGCTTCAAAGGACCACCCTTGCTCCAGAGCACAGATTAGTCCTTAACCCAAACAAAATCCTTTCCTAGGCTGACCTGAAAGTCAGTTTTCTGTTGCCCAACATCCCTAGTAACAAGCATCCTTGAATGAATAATGCTTTCTCAGAACATGTGAACAGGGCATTTACCATTCACATGAAGGCACAGACATGTCATTTCCAGTTTATTTTTGGAGACATAAATTGGAGGAATACCCTCAGGATGGTGAGGAAAGCCAACACGTTTTTATGTTAACAAATCAGGTCAGAAGAGTCATGCACAGACTTTTGTTTCTGGGCTGTAGCTGGCAATGTTGTATCAGCTGCATCCAAGTCACAGTTTCTCTATATTGTTATCCAACATATTTTATTCTGAAGAAGCTGTTCAAGAATCTTGTTATTTCCCTTTCTTTACAGGCAGCTGAAGACAGTATTTGTATGTTGGGTAGGGCTGCAGAGGGCTGGCAAAAGCCCATCTGCCAGTAAATGTAAGGAGGACCAGACTCAACTTACTGCTCTAGATGCATCAGGAAAAGCCTATGAACACCTTCAGGCCTCCTTCAATTAGGCAGACGAGGAACAATTTTTGCATTCTATGTACTTGCCCTGGAAAGCTCCTGGCAGAAGATTTTACCTCAGTACTTTCTAAAGTGCTAAAATAGCTACAAATATGTCCTGGTGGATGGCTCTCCATCTCCATCACATCAGCGAAATGCTTCAAGCAGTATATGGCTTTGTGGATCCAAAATATGCATACATGCCCCTTTTTTTCCACATGCCACAATAATAAATTGCCATAAGAACAGCCTCAAATTTTACATGTGAAGAAATAAGGAAAATATTAAGGAAGTCAGTTTGTGGACTTAGTGCACTGTAGGCAGTTTACGAGCACACAAATGGTTCCTGCAAATTCATCTATTTAAAAAATATTTTATCTCAGCATGGTCTGTGATAATACTGAACTCAATATTATCCTCTTCAAAACGAAAGTGTACAATTTTTTCAGACTAATTATTACATTACTATCCAGCCAAACAAGCCACAAAACTTACAAGTTATTAGTGTTCTCATCTTGCAAAAAACCCTCACAGAAGATCAAAGATCTGCTTCCACAGGCAGATCTACCTGACATGACTTTCAGTTTCTTCCTAGTTCATCCCTCTCAAAGTCTGAAGACAGAATCTTACCATTAGTTTAGTTTTTCAGCTTTTCTAACATGTATTTTTGTTATACGCATTTTCAGGTGGTGGGAAAACCTACCTGCAGGATCTGTTAAACTAATTCTATGAACTCAGTCTCGTAAGTTTACTGCTAAACACACCAGACATTAAAAATTTCTAAAGAGCAAGGCAACGACCCCTGCTTCAGCAACACAAGTTTCTTCTTACAAGTGCTCTTTTGGGAAAGGCAGAGGAATATCCATTAACGGTGTCTAGATGTACCATTTAATGCTAACTAACAGTAACTAGTACTGATACTTACTTTTACAAATTTACCATGGAGAAGATATGGAGACTGGAAGTCATGTTGACAATTGGAATAGGCCATTCCTAACCCCATCCCTGACCCAAAAGCGATAGGCCATGTCTTTCCTGCGGGGGAAGGCAAGCAGAGAGGAAAAGTTAAAGTCAAGAAAAGCCATTCATTTCACATGACAGTGATAGCATTGTTACCTAAGCACCAAGAAAGAATAAATTACTGGAAAATGCACACTGGGCATTTTCAAGTTCTATGAGTGCTAAAATCAGTTAAAAAAAAAACACTTCAGAAGAACAACAAGAGTAACGGTGAGTAAGATGTCACATTTAGAATTCAGTGGAGAGCAATCTCTGAATTCAAGATATTGCTGGAAATTATTTTGTTACCAAAGCATAACTAAAAGAAGGATTTAGATCAGTTTTAAAACTGGCAAGACTGGCATAAACTGATGTCTAGACACATGGCTCCAGTAATTTGGCTCAGGGTTTCCGGCAATTCTAGAATTTGAGCTGAGCACAGTAGGAGCTCAGAGAGATGCTGCGTGTAATAACCTTGTTACACAACAGTTAAAACTTTAGGTAACTCCATTTCAGCTGAAAAGACAAGACCAGTAATGAAAGAATTGGTCTAACATGCTGATTAAGTTTTACATGCCTCAGAGATTTCTTGGACTTAAAACTGCACCTACAACAGACAGAAACTAGGAAACTGGGCAGTCAAGATTACTGCACTATACTTACTTTTGAAGAAGATGACTGAGAAAACAATTCCTAATCCAAATCCAGCACCTGTAAGAAGAAATGCAGCGAGTGAGGACTAATATAATGCAAAGTAATGGAAAATGATTTAGTTCTTTACAGTAATTCTTTGTTCTAACCCAGGAATATCAGACCACATGTTATTTCAGCATACCAAACAAAAATGTTCTTAAATAGCAATTCTGAAAAAAATAATTCTTGCTTTCTTAAGTAACTGCAAGCAGCTAATTCAGATTAGAATCCCTACATACACAAGAACATTATCAGAAAATTTGGGAAACAAACCAGACACTCATCCCAGAGAAAGTTACTGAATTTCTGTCACCGTCTACAGTGTGGAATTAAGATTTATTTGGCTCATTGTCAGCAAATGAGAAACACTTAAATGAAAACTTATTGTGTCCTTCAGCTTTAGATTTTGCAGATTAATATCTTATTGTATTTCGTTTATCTCACTACTTTAACTGCTTCAATGTGTGTCCTGAGGGCAGCAAAACTTTGATGCTTTGTGTTACCCTATACCTTGCAAAAGAAAGCTCCAGGCTGCTTATCTTTCACATCCACGACATTCATTATGGAGCATATTTAAACACATTAGGAATGAATGAATTTTCACATCCTTATACTATATATAGAAATAACTGCAGCAGTTGGAAAAAGATTATCCAAGCACCATTAAAGAACTCAGCTGGCATATTTAAAAATAATTTTTGCTTTCCTTGGAAGGTGCACTTATGATTTTTTGCAAGAAGTCAGGCAAGTCTGCAGAACTCCTCTCAGGACCCAATAAATACAGCAGTGAAAACTTTGAGCTCAGTGGGTAAATTCTACCTTTAATTATATCCACTAAAGACAGGAATTTTAGATAAGGTGCAGAAGTACAAAAGTTTAAAAAAAGGGGGGGGAAAAAAATCAGTCATGCATATGCTCATTAAAAAAATACCTCACAGTTTCAGGTTTATTTTGCAGCAAACACATCCTGTTATGGGTTTCAATTCTCTCCCTTCAATACAAATCTAACTTGAGTATAATGAGTTTTATTAAATAAAAGATGCACTTAAAAAACAAAAAAATATTCCTAAAAGCATGCAATCCTTATTTAAGCTCCTGTTGAACACATTACTAAGTGGGTCGAGCCCAGAACAATGCCAAAGAATCCTATACCCTCTTGGTGTATAGGAGTACATTTTTTTATTTTTTTTTTTTAACATTTCCTTTTGTCTTTAAACCTTTTTCCCTGCAAAAATATACTAATGGTAGCTCCTACCAAGGCACAGATTATTGAAACAATACTCACTGCACTACCTAGTAAATTAAGTAAGCAACCTCCTGCTTTTCCTTGATTAAAAAACCCTCAAATATTAGAACAGAGATGACCAAACAGCTGATCTGAGCAAACCCCCTTTTGTTTACCCTCCTCTTAGGACTTCACTATCCATATTTAATGGAAATTAGGTGGAAATTAGAGTTGCTTTTGAAAACTCTTTTCATTTTACTACAGATTTTCAATTGTGACAGAGGTAACTACTTTACCAGGTCATTACAACTTTGGAGTAGGCTTACAAAACATGCAACTGCAGGGAAGAACTTTGACCGCCTGCCAAGCGGTCCTGACATAACTCCCCCAGACATTTTAGAAACTGAGCGTTTTGCAGAAGGTCAGGTTTTCGCTCTAATCATTTGCACAGCTAAGGGAAAGTCTTGGTTCCTCAGATGTCTGGTCAGAGCTTCAGGCTTTTTCTGCATTTCAGACAGTAAGAGATACACTACTTGGAGCATCTCGTATAAACAGCTAACTACTCACACCGCGTCACTGACCGGCATTTATATGCAGACTGGAAGAGACATCATGCATTACTAAGAGCAGCAGTTCATCCGTGCTAATTCCTCCACTCCCCCTCCCCAAGTAGAGCCTTCCTCCTGTACCTTTGCTATAAACCAGCTGGTGTTGGCTATTGCAGAATGTTTATGCTATTAAGGATAATTACTATCTTCAAGAATTCATCCAACGGACAACTGTTTGGCCCTCTGACCCGACTCCCTCTGCCAGTCTTTTCCTACAATACGTAGTTATGCTTGCCTTTTTGTTTTGGGCTGTTGCACTGTAGGTCGGAAAAGGACTTTCTGGAGGTAATTATTTTCTGTTCAGACAGCACTAGGCGTTGTTTGAACTGCCTGGTTCATAAGGCCTGCCACGCAGCGCCGTGATACTGGTCCTATGCTTCCCGTCCAAGACAAGATCCCCTCTGCCAATCCAAACAGTTTAGCTAATCAATGAGAAATGATTTATAGGATGACAAATTCTGCATCATCTCAATGCAGAGCCCAGGCAGTTTCTAATGTCACCACATTTTCCACGTTACCAGTCAAACCCACATTCTTCCTACCAGAGTGGTGGTAAACTGCTTACTTTCTTGTGTTAAGAAAAGTCTGCATGAAGGAAGCAGCTATAGTTAATGCAGTCTCTTTCCATCTGCATGCAGAAATCTTCATTATCTTGTGTTCTCCTCACCTCTTTCAGATGATCTTTCACATTACGTCCCTGTTTGTAAGGGCTCCACACAGATGCCATCAAACTGCTGCTTCCTGTTGGCCATGGGGGAAGCTACAGGATACACTTAAAGGTGAAAAATTTATTATTTCTGCCAACTGCAATTCAGCCTAAGCCTGAAACAAAGCCTAGGTCTTCCCCCACGCTAATACCTAACACCACCGTTAAGCAGATGTGGTCCTGCATGACTGACTTGTTAAGACAGAATGGTCTTTCCTAAGGAAGTTTTTTTCTGAAGCCGCGATAAGCCTGGTTCTAGGGAAGGGATTCTTCTTTTTCATGCAAATGCAGAGTGTCCATTTTAGAGGCTGCCACTGCCCCCTATTCCAACAGGAAGGGGAATACAGTGGCCGATTAGTTTAAAAGGATGACAGTAAGATATCTAGGGCCTTGTTTGAAGTTATGAAAACGCTATAGAGCAGTAAAGGAGGAGAACTGACAGCTAATGCTTTTTTGTTTTCTGTACAAGGCGGCAACTTGAGAAACAAAGCCAAAAAAGTATCTTAGTTTCCCTCATCCCAAAGGCAGTTTGGTTCATTCCTTCCCGTACTGAGGAACAGACTAAAGTCTATGCTGAAAACTGTTGCTGATCGCAACACCCAATCAACAGGAAATGCTCAGATCTGCCGCCTCATGTCAGCCAGTGCATATAGAGCATTTGCTCTTTTCTACTTGGTTTTAACTTAAACCCAGAAGCTTTAGTTACATTTAATTTCTCAGCCCATCTGGTTAAGAACCTATTTCTACGGATAGTTTGTCACTCATCTTCATTCCACTAGAAAGTATTTGTGGTTATGCGGTCATTTCCTTTGTCTCCAGGACCAAGGGGGAGCTAAACCATCTTGTCTTGGAAGCAAAGTAACTCGTTTCATTTTAATTCTATATAAAGTTACACCAGAGATAAACAATGGCAGAGCTGTTGATGAGTTTTACAGGTTTAAGTTCTCACATGCTCAATTTCCTTTTAAAGAGGCAAAATGTTGCTTCAAAGAGCCTCCCACCTGACCAGGGGACACTCGGTCTGCAGCTGTTTCTACTAAAGATCAGCACCTCTAGGCCAGGCTTTAACTTCATAACAATAAAACATGAAAGGTTTATCTTACAATAAAAACAAATGAACATGGAAAAGCTAAGGGCTTGATCCACGCCGGGCACATTTTCCCTCCTTTTCTTGCATGACAGACTCTTTGGAGGAAAAGGCCACAGGAAAGAGTACAACGCATTTTTCACCTCCTCTGACAGTTTAAAATGTTTAACTAGAAAAACAGCCTCTTCCACTCTACATCTATCATTTCAGCTTAAACTCATTTACAGTCGGTGTCAACAGGCAACAGGACAGTTCTGTGAACACCTTACTCCCGCTCCCCAGTAAGTGGCCCGACCGTACAGACCAGCACAGCCACACGGAATTGGTATTAGGCAGAAAGCCCAGTCCCCAAAACTTTTTCGTTCTACTTTTTTTTGGCTCATACACCTTCCAAGAAAAATGTCACAGTACCTCAAATCAATCTAACACACAGAAGAGCACGCGCCGTATACCCAACAGGACATCATAAAAGTGTCTCGGAGAGAAACACAAATCTTCAGGACGGGCTCCTGCCCCATAAGAACATCTGGGAAAAGCTTTTTCTATAAATTTAATCAACAGCCCCTCCAACAGTGATACTACGCAGTTATTTCCTAGGCTACCCAAGTAGCTATGGGCTGAAGCAGCTATTAAGACAGCCACACCTAGATATACTTTTCTTCAATAGCTTTTGACTTAAAATAGGAGGATTAAAATATGCTCGTTGACATCTGGCAAAAGTGTTACTGTTACTATAGCAGCTGGAAGTTTTTAATTTACTTAATCTGATGACAAAAAGAAAACTATTATTGTCTCCTGCCATTCCTTGCACACAAATACAAAATAGAGAGCTTCAGCCTCTTCTCCTTCAGATTCTGGTAGTTTACAAATAGAAGAACTATATGATTGAAATAAAATGAAGAATGAGCTCCTGGAAGATGGCTTCTTGTTCTAGGAAAACAGCAACTACCCTGTACAGCTCTCTAAAATAGGTCACGGACTTGCCCCAACAGGAGAGAAGATTTCTTCCCAACTAGAAAGAGATTTTCCATTAGGGTCAAAGAAAATCTATCGAGCTTGGTTAGCTTCTCTCTGGCGACAGTGACAGCAACAGCTTCAAGGTCCATGATGTTGGATCTCATCCACGGGCCTGATGCACTGAAGTTTCAAACAAACATCAGCTCAGTCCGGCAGTAAAATTTGCTTTAGGGAAGGAAATACCCAAGAAAAGTCAAGATCTTCAAAACAAGCAAAAAAGGCAAGCAACTCTCAAAACTACAGTCTCCTTCCTGTGTAGGGCATCCCATCCTGCTCCCCTCCAATCCCACACCAACAAGATACACGGATAATTGTTTTGCAAAAACGGGGAGAACTTTTCATACACCAGGGCCTTTATAGGGCAGCACTTAGCACCAGTTAGAAACCAGAGACCATGAAATCACTTATTTACAGAGAGAATTAATTTTAAGCAGACTCTTAGCAAGGTCTTTCATGGTAGGGATCAGATTTTCTTCAAACACCAACTTTGAAGTTTTCGTTCTCATCTCCCCTGTTGTGCGGATTGTTTACATAGTGGGCAGAAAAATGAGCAAGGACACTAGAAGAAAACACTGGGAAACTATATACCAAGTACTCGAGGAAGAAGCAGGAAAAAAGCGTGTTTTGCTTTCTTCTAGCATTTGACTGTAGTAACACAGAATACTTGGAATGACAGAATATAAATATCCACATACTATTATAACACAAAAATCCTGACATGCTTTCAGGGGCTGCTTTCACCCTTAAGCACTCCTGCAGTTCAACAGCTGCCCAAAGGCTGACCTTAGATAAACATCAGCACTTTTGCACATGGACGCACAGCAGCGGGAAGTATCCCCGTTAGCCCAAGCAATCACACCGATAGTCTCCTAACCTGACCAGAAACTTTTCATCCTCACACTGGTGAATGAGCTGGTG